CAATAACATTCCCTAACTCAACTGTATTAATTTAGATCCAAGGAAATGGATCTTCATTAAATGTCCAGGTCCACAAGGTAATCCCAGTTCTCTGTCTCACTGAGATGTTCATTTGAGGTAGGAACCAGTCAGTCATACAAACGATCTGTCTGTTTGTATGGAACTTTCATTATAAGAACAAATCTACTCAAGAGCCCTACACCCGAGCTTCACATAAGCCAAGCATTAATTTTCCTCTTTTGCCTTGTAATCTTAAGACCAGTAGCCCAACATATAAAGACAGCATTGCAGAGAAAACTGTAAAAGAGAACCCCCAGATGGAGCTCAGCATCATACTGCCTCCACAAACTCCAGAAACCAACGGCTGCACAGGAAGCAGCAATAATATCCGGGTCAAAGGGCAGCTTCAGGAATGACAAAAATGAAATGACAGGGAACACCTGACTTGGACCTCCAAGGCTGCTCCAGGTTTGGGTGAGTTGCTCAGCCCCTCTCCAGGCTCAGAGTCATGATGGTCACTCGGAAGAAGTGAGAGCATTTATTACAGCCAGGGAGGTTTGACTTTCAGAAATCTTTTTCTAATTTTACTTATTTGTGTGTTTATTTGTGTGTAGGTGTCCACAGGAGCCAGAAGAGGGCGTCAGAGCCCCCGGGCATGAGCTGCCTGACATTGGTGCTGGAACCAACCTGGAGCCTATCCTTACCACCTGTTATTAATATTTTAATACCTGAGGGGGGAGTTTGAGATCCAGAGCTTTGGCCTAAAGACTTCTGTATTTTGTTTTATAATTCCCCTTTCAAACCATCTTCCTTTCCCCTGCAAACACTAATTTTTGAAGATTTATTAGCCTATTAGATTGACTATAATTAACAGGGAACTATATTTCTTGGCTGACTCCTCATTTGGGCCTTTAGCTGGCCTGCTATTAAAGCTCAAAGTCTTCCCCTCAGCCCGAGGACATCACACCGACCAGGATTTTCTTATAAAACCAGTGGGCCAGAGAAAGACTCCCAAGGGGGATTAAATGGAACAATGTAGTTAAAACTGGTGTGGAGGGAAAGTGGGCTGTTTGTTATTGTACTGACAGATGAGAAATCTGAAATCCACGTATGTCTATCTCCCACATTTCTGGTTTTGAATTTGCCTACACCTGGTGATTAGGCACCCGAACACAGCCCTCTGCCTACTCATGCTATAAAAATACACTAGCATTTCAGTCAATTTCTTGACATAGCTGATTAGTATGTGTAAGGATCTATTTCTCTTTTCTGACGGGCTGATGTCTTAGACATCCCTTGCAATTATGTTGGAGTCTGTAGCAGCCGGTGGGACTCTGGTGGTTTAGTCAACTATCTGTGTCGGTGTGTTGTGGCAGCGTTTATAGAACTCTACTTTCTTTTACCTGAAATATAGTTACATTAGAAATGAAGATCTTCCAATTTGTGAGAGGGTGACTTCTGGAAAGAAATAAACTAAGCCAAGTGGGGCATGGAGCCGCACATCTGTAATCACAGCACTTGAAAGGTGAGACAGGAGGATTGCCATGAGTTTGAGGCCTGATTGGGCCACATTGTGAATTTCAAGCATTATAGTAAAAGCCTGTCTCCAAAAGCCAAAGAAACAAGATTAAAGAAAAGTAATGAAATGAATAGCACAGTGCATTTGTTTGAAAAAAAAAATCAACAAAGAATTCCTGTGCCACAAAACACTAAGATTTGTCATCTGAAAGGAAGAGACGCGACACAGAGGCTGGCAGCCACCTCTCTGGCTACTGGAGTTGGATACAAACAAGAGGTTTTGCTATTGGCTTTTCCATGAAATCAATTATTTTAAATGAAATTATAATTTTCTAATTATGTAAAACTGTGTTTGAAGCATCTAGTTATTTGGCTTTAAAAGGTTGTCCTAACCCTTAGTGGAAGTCACATGGTCTATTTCCAATCCCTTAGGGCAGGCCTCCTGCCTTGATCCCCTGTGTAAATTCAAATTTTAAGTCAACTTAGAGGCCATGAATATACTACCCAAAAAAAAAAAAGTTTCCTGAAAGTAACCATGGGGCCCACCTTCCAGGGATCTCCCTTCGGGGACATTAATACACATACATGAAAGTGAATGTCAAGTCCAGTCCAGGGCATGGCTCTGTGGGCAAAGGTGTCTGCCTCCCAGTTTGACAACCCGAGCTTGTCCTAGGACACACAGGATGGAAGGAGACAGCTGACTTCTTTCTACAAGTTGCCTTCTGACCTCCACATGTGTACTTCATCCCCAACATACAAAATAAATTAATGTAAAAGAAAAAAAAAAGGTTTCTTGAGTGCATGTACATCCTTCATGCAGGCAAAAGAAGGGATCAGACTTCATGGGGATACTGGAGCTACTCACTGAGTGTGAGCAGAGTTCAGCATGAAGGTCTTGCCCCCTTACACTGGGTTTGATTCCCCGAGGGGATGGGACTCTTTATGTTAACTGGTCTCTCCCTGGTGCCGGGCCCATCAGTCTACACTTAGTGACTCTTTGTTGAACAGTAAATGAACAAAATGGAAAAGTTGGACTCGACAATCATTATCAAAGAGTAATGGCTACTGTGAGGGTTATAAATCATTCACTCAAGTCAAGGAGACTGTGGAAGCAGCGTGGTGGGGACAGGGCATAACCAGAGTGAGCCAAGATGGCCTGAGTGACAGCAGGGAATAACTGGGTGCCAGGAGTTTTGGGGGTGATGGTGTGAATCCAGCAATCACCGGAGCTTTGGATTGGCTTTAAACAAAAAGGGTAGTTCAAGTTAGCGGGTGAGGAGAGCAATGAGCACACTGATTGCTAAGGGCTGCCTCGGGAGGGCCAGCTCCAAAGGCCTCCTCTGCCTCCAATTTTTACCAGCCTTTCAGAAAACAGCATCTAGCAGGCAGCATTGAGGCGTAAAGTCACACGGTATGAATCTCCCCCAGCTCAAGGATTTGCTGGAGATGGACTATGTTTTTATGTTTAGTTTGGAGTTTCTTGTCTCTTTCTCCCTTTTTCAGTGAAGTGAGCTGCCTGGAGATTTGGAAGAGGGGATAGATAATTCTATTTGCTGATTCTTCTATGTTTCCCTGCTTTATCCAGAAACATGGAATCTGACCCCTTTCATATCACCAGATATGTTTACTGGTGTCATGGAAAAACAGGCTCTCTCATGCAATGACACACATGTGGAGGTCAGAGAACAACTTTTGGGAGTCGGTTCCTGCCATCTATTGTGTTGTCTCTGCTGCTGATGGGGCCACCAGGCCAGCTGGCTTGTGAATCTTAAATTCTGACTCCACTTGGCATCGCCCATTGAAAGGCTAGCATGGCAGATGCGTGGTACTGCATCGGCACTTCACACAAGTTCTGGGGCCGCAACCAGGTCCTCAGGCTTGGGCAGGAAGTGAGTTTATCTACCGAGACTGCCCCTTGGCCCAAAGCTCTCGAATCTTATTATTTTCTAACCACACTGGTTTTGTGTTGTATGCACATCATGTCCGCTCTCACGCATGAATGCCACAGCGCACATATGGAGGTCCTTCCACCACGTGGGTTTGGGAGATCGAACTCAGGTTGCCAAGCTCGGTAGCTGGTGCCCTGACCTGCTGAGCCATCTCACTGGCCTACAAGTCTCAAATCTTGACCCCATATTTAAAGCAAGTGGGCACTGAGAGGAGAGGTGCTCAGCCTTAACCTACCCACGGCTTCCACACCCTCCATTCCAGGAGCCCCCAGAAGAGAGCAGGCCTTTGCCAATATCTTCTAAGACTCAGTTCCCGCCTGCAGGGCTTTGGCTGGCTTTTATTTTGTCTGCATTCTTCTTAATAGCCTTCTGAAACTGGGGAGTTTTTTTGTTTTTTGTTTTTTTTTTCCAAATGGATTAGACTCCCAGATATGGAAATAGAGGCGCCCAAGGGCGAAAGTCTTGTTCTTCATTAAAGAGAATTAAACCGATGACCTCTCTCCCTTGGGTTTTGCTGCCCTCACCTGGCTGACTTTAGTTTTTTAAAGGACCCAAAGGTGTCTGCCCACATTCTTTCTGTTCCACACGGATTAAGAGTGTGACTAATTCATCAACCAAGCTATGCAGCTGTATATATATCCATTGTAAGAATATTAAGCAACCATTACTGCATTTAAATGGCCTAGATTGTTCCGTATCTCATCGTCACCTTCAGAACTTCTGGATTTCAGTGGATAGTTTTGGCCTTTTTATTTTGCAGACTGAAGCTCACTGTGTAGCCCAGTTTGGCTTTGAACTTGGAAACCACCCCAGCCTCTTGAGTGCTAGGATTAAAGGCATAAACCTCTATGCCTGGCTATAAGTTGTATTATTCAGTACTTAATCCAGAAAATGCCTTATATTGTTTTTAAAGGTCTGTTTTAATTTATCTACATGTTCTTTAAAATTATTTTTAAAATGTTTATGTGCACCCTATATGTGCAGTATCCTCAGAGGCCAGAAGAAGGCACTGGAGCTCTGGGAACTTGAGTTACAGACAGTTGGGAGCCATTTGAAGTGGGCATTGGGACAGAACCCTGGTCCTCCACAAGGGCACCATGTGCTCTTAACCAGCAAGCTATCTCCAGCTCCATCTTCACATATTCTTATGTTCTTTATGCAAACAATTCATTTGAATAATGAGAAAGCAGTATCATTTGCCAACAACTGAAACAAACAGCAAACATACAATGCAAATCCAGCAATGAAATTAACTTCTGGGTGGATACTGCTGCCAATATTTATAACCAAAAACCTCTTAATTCACTAAAAAGGGGATTAGCAGAAGTGAAAGAATAGTAGCAATGAGCAGACCTTAGGACCAAAAGGAAGAGTGAGAGGGAACCTACTCACGGAGCCCATCCATAGCACCCGCGTCTCACCACAGCCACAACTCACGCCATGGGTAGGACCCACCCCCTACCATCAGAAGATGAGCTGCAAGTCTGTTCTGCACACATGGACGGATGGGCAGATGGACGGAAGGTGGCTTACCATTTGTCTGAGAAACGCCATCAGAGGAGTCCTCCGGGGTTTGTTTTCTTCCTTAACTTTTACATCTGTGGGTTCGGGCCAGGCCTCTTCTTCATTGAGATCCACAGTTTGTAAAGCCGACTCTACTTCCTCAAACTTTACAGTCTCTACTGGTGGCTCACACACCGCCTGGATTGTTTTGCCAGGTAATAAGGAAGTAAAACAAAACAAAACAACACCCCCCTCGACCTAAATATTCCCCCATAACATGTTTTATGAAAGAGTTTTGGTTCTCCCATCTGCAGAGTTGCTGTGGGTTTGAACCTGTGACTAGATCCTATGCAGGCGAATATTCAAGAGGCAATATTCAGGGTGTATTTAATGAGCTCACAGACAGATGAGTGCTGATCATTGGACAGACAAAGAGGCAGCCAGACAGATAGGAGTGGGGTTGGCAAACTCCTTTCCCATGAAGGTGAGAGAAATAGATAAAGTCCCTTCCACCCTTCCATTCCAGTAAGTCTCTCTTTGGTCTGCCCCCGGAACAATTACACCCAGCCTGTATAGAGATCTGTAGTAGTTTGAATGAGAGTGGCCCCCAGAGGCTCAAATGTTTGAATGCTTGGCCCCCAGTAGGTGGAACTATTTGGGAAGGATTAGGAGGTGTGGCCTTGTTGGAGGAGTTGTGTCACTGGGGGTGGGCTTTGAGGCTCTCTAGTTACCTCTCTCTGTGTGTCTCCAGATTGTGGATCAGATGTGAGCTCTTGGCTAAGTGCCACCAGCATGCCTGCCTGCCTTTGCCATGCTTCCTACCATGATGGTCATGTACTAATCCACTGAAATGATAAACCAGCCCCTAATTAATTGCTTTCTTTTGTAAGTTGCCTTGGTCATGGCATTTGTCACAGCAATAGGACAGTGACTAAGGCAGATCAGTAACAATCAGGCAACACACATCAAGTTCTTACTGTGCCAGGCACCATAACACTTAGCTAATGCTACTGGTTCTTACTGTTCTTACTGGTGTTAGCATCAAACCTATTTACTCCATGACCACGAATGACCTGGAGCATCCAATGTCTTACAAGTCCATTTGGAGATGGTTATATCAGTTACTACCTCTTTCTATGTCTATTGTACAATGTACTTCTTATACACGACATTGGGACATAGCTACAAAGGTAACATTATCCCCTTTTTACAAATGAGGATTATAAACTTTTATAAATATAAAAAATTATAAATTTTAGCAGACGTTCTAAACTTTTGTGGTCTCAAGGGCCCTGTTTCCCTTTTCATGAAGACTTGACGTTGATGCTACTCCTGCCTTTAGCTCAGGGAATCACAGTGGGCTGTGCACTGGCTGGCAGATAGGTTTGAAAAGATGTGGGTAGAGAAATTAGACAAAACAAGGCAGTTCATCCACATTGCTCCAGAAGTCACTAGTCACAGGGCTCCTGTGAGTGACAAGGGTAGTGGCTTCTAGCTGTCCTACAGCGAGGGTTTAGGGGACTGGGCACTGCAGAGATTAACACTGTTGCTTCTCCAGGGAGGAAGAGATAAAATGAACTTCTATTTTACATACTCCTTCACTCTATCTGGATGCCTAGTCAGCTAGGAAAAAGCATAATTTCCCTGGGAACTAGAACAATGATGGTAGGACTAGGATTCACTATGTTACCTGCTACGCACCTGCTTTTGGGGGCAGCCAGCTTTCCCTGCAAAAGCTATTGCCTGTCTTGCCCCATTGGGCAAACATCCAGAGACAATGCATAAAGGGATATGTGACCGGTTCTAATAAAACTTTGTCAACACTGACATTTGAATTTATGATTTCCAGATGTCATGATATTATTTTTCTTTCATTTTTTCAACCATATAAATATACAGAAAACCACTTTTAACTTGTGGGCCAGATTTAAAAAAGGTGGTGGACTGGATTTGGTCTGTGAACTGTAGTTTACTAATGCCTAAATTACCGTCTCATTTCATTCTCACCAGAGCCACAAACTGGTTCCGTCAATATCCCCATGTAATAGAAAAGTAAACTGAGGTTCAGGGGAAATGTGCCCTGGAGTTAATGCTCCCTACATCATAGCTGTTTAGCCTTATGTCTTGCACGTTATAGGAAGTTAGAAGGTGAATGTGGAGCCTTGAAATTGGAAATATAAGGTATAGGGCTAAGCAAGAAAAAAAAACAATGTATAAAACATTTCTTCATTTCATTAAAAATGTCTTGCTTTCCTTCACATCCCTGATAGCTTTGTGTTACCGTTTGATATTAGGAATGTATCTATTAATTCAGCTGTATTCCTGTTCTAAGCATATGGTACAAAGTGAAATGTGCTTGGCTGTTTCAGATCAATTCCATATTTTAACACTGAGCTGCAGGGAATACATGGATCCTAGAATGAATGGAAACACTAATTTTTTTTTTTCTGTCAAAAAGTTTCTCTTCAGAGAGCTCAGAATCTCCAAGCTGACTTGAGCTTTTCAGGTTAACAGTGGAGAAGAATCTGGGTTTGTAGAAAATACCAGGTAAATTCACAAGAACTTTCTAAAATCAAGAGAGGCCTGAGCTTTCCTGAGCTATTAACTTTGACTCAATAAATAAAAGAAAGGATACAATGAAAGAAAGAGTGAATGAATGGACAAAAGAATGTAGGAAGGAACGAGGGAGCAATAAATAACAAAACCAACAGATTGTCAAGATTTTTCTCCTAATAAGAATAATAACACATCTAGACAAACAATGGGAACCAACTGGACAGGAGGATGGGAAGAAAGAGGAGGGACAGGACTGTGGGGGTAGCACACTCAAAGTATACCATATACTTGTATGAAAATGTCCTTGCCGGGCGTTGGTGATGCACGCCTTTAATCCCAGCACTCGGGAGGCAGAGGCAGGTGGATCTCTGTGAGTTTGAGACCAGCCTGGTCTACAAGAGCTAGTTCCAGGACAGCCTCCAAAGCCACAGAGAAACCCTGTCTTGAAAAAAAAAAAGAAAGAAAAAAAGAAAATGTCCTTATGTAATTCAATACCATGTGAAGTGAATGTATGCCAATGAAAATAAATATATAAAGGGACTCATACAGCCGGGTGGTAAATAAAAAAGGAAACACACACAGCTATTCCAGTGTTCACCTGCTATCATGCTAGCTAATGTTTGAATTTCCAACATCCATATAGTCCCAGTAACTAAAGGAAAATGAAAGCATAAACACGGTTCATGCTAAGTGAACAAGAGACTCCAAGAGATTCCAGAGGATACGAGCACATCTTGCTTTGGCAAAGTGATAGCGTCCCTTTGTCATTTTAAGAAGCTGTGCATTCACTTGTCCCAATCATAAAAATGTCCAAAGTCTGCACTGCTTTCAGCATGGAGAGCTGCTGTCTTGGGCCTGAAGCTACCAAGGCTCCCTTTATTAATCTCTCAGGATGAGATTTTGAAAAGATACATTGTGTGTGTGTGTGTGTGTGTGTGTGTGTGAGAGAGAGAGAGAGAGAGAGAGAGAGAGAGAGAGAAAGAGACAGAGAGGCAGAGACAGAAACAGAGACAGAGACAGAGAGATAGAGAGGTAGACACACACACACACAGAGACAGAGAGAGACAGAGATCTCATAAACACCATCCCTTTGGACATGAATGAACTATTTCTGGCCATCAGTCTACCAGGTGCAGACGCCTGGGTTAGCTCTCTAGTGGAGACAACAGTCAGGATTATTACTGTAAGACATTCTCATCCATGACACAAATAGCTGGACCTGAGTACCACCCAAAGTTAGTGAGAATCTGGATAACCATGGAAACGGAGGTGAAGGATCAACCAAAGCAGAATGAAGCAGAAGATGCAACCCCATGCCTTAAGCATGTGCAAAGCCATTGCTACATGTAGTAGACTCGTTCAGTCCCTAAAGGATGACAACCTAGAAAAGGGGATGCTCTGATTTTAGATCTACTTTTGCATTGATTCAATGGGAATGATAAAGAATTGATCCTTGTTGGTCCCCCGTCTTGGTCCCTGATCATGAGAAGGGATGAAAGAGTCTACATTGAATGTATAATACAGGACATGCAAAACAAGTGTTCCCCAAGATGAATACCCAATGGCCCGACACACCAAAGATGACAGTGGAATGATTTAAGATGGCACTGAGTCACTTACATTCTCCTCTGCACCTGTGGAAAGTGAATCCTCTTTAATTGACTAGAGGAAGATAAAAACAAAAGCAAGAGTCAAGATGTTACCACAATAAGTCACGTGAAAGCAAAGGGCTATCTGGTCTACCAATCCAATAAAGTAGTTCTCAGATACTGAATTGTTAATGTGGACCTTATTCAAGCAAGCATTTGATGGAGGGCTTCCACAAAGGCAAACAGTAGAGCAAGATAATATAAGTTGTGTATTTCAAAATGCAATGGACAAAGAATAAACATAGTGTCACAGATAGAGTATGCATGGAAGATGAATGGTTGTCATAGAAATCACAAGCCACAGAGTTGTGGCTGTGGGAAAGAACATATTTGCTTCACATTTTCTAGTAGCCAACAAAAACAGAACAATAATAATAACTATATAATAATATATAACATTAGTTATTATTATTAATATTGTTGTTGTTGTTGAATGTCATACATTTCAGGCTAGCTTTGAATTAACTCTGTAGTCAAAGATGACTCTGAATTTCTAATCCTCTTGCCTCCACTTTCTCAGGACTGTGATTCCAAGTGGGCACTACCTCGTGCACTACTGTACTTACTTATGTGGTGCTGGGGAGCAAATCCAGGGCTTCCTGCATGCTGGGCAAACAGTCTACCAACTGAGCTACATTCCTGAGGGGAATACAGTCCTTCAACACACAGCTACTGTTAGGCAAAAACAGTAACTTTTTAGGAAAATTCCATAAGAGAACAGAGAAACCCGCCCAGGTCTTTATGGAGCAGCAGGCACCCCCACCTCACAAGAGGGCTCCCATCCTCATCTGATTGTAGTCCTTGGTCAGCATTGAGAGCTGCTCCCTACACTAGCCCTCAGTCTGAGTCAACTCTGTCTTGCTCAAGCTCAACCTGAGTAGAATAATACACAGAAGGCCAGGGCCTGGGGTTCCACACACTCTAATCCAGATACTGTTTTATCCCCCTGGAGTCACCTGGCTCTAGAGTCCTGTCCTAAACAGGAGAGGGGGCATCCCAAATCTTCCAAAGCTTATTAATGCTACACTCAGTCAGCTGGCTATGACTCTGGAGGCCATCTTAATAGCTTCCCTTCCGCGGTTCTTCAGCCTTGGTGTGTGGGTCCTTGTGGATACAGGCTGTCTTGAGAATCTCCCAGAAACAAAATACTTTGCAAATGATACCAGGATACTCACAGACCTTCTGTGTCTTTTTTTCTTAGATTCCAGATTAAAACCACTTCCCTAGACCCATTTTAGTCCCGTTTAGTAACAGCGACGAGAGGAAGAGAAGGGATATTTACACATGTGTCTCTCAGGCCCCTGCTATGCCTTATTTCCTCTAATATGTCTCAAACAACAAGTATATGACCTACCATTTATAGTGTAAGAAATGGGCACAGGCAGGCCAAGTCACTTGCTCAGGTTAAATAGCTAGAGAGCAGAGCATACTGTTCTGAAAGCCAAGTCCCCGTTTGGTGACTGTGAACTTGCTATCTCCCTAGCTAGGGTCATTGGCTGTTTCTTTCTGCTCAGGTTATTTCCATATGGATGACATCCTGGGCACAGAGGAACCCCAACATTTCTGAAAGCTTCTGTTGATGAGGAAATGATGCCACTGTTAAAACAATTTACAAGGACTGCTGCTTTCCTGGGGTGTGTGCTGGTTAGAGTTCACCAACTTGACAAAAACCTAGACATATCTGGGAATAGGGGATTTCAACTGGGAAAATGCCTCCATAACCTTGGCATGTAGGTAAGTCTGTGGAGTATTGTCTTGATTAGTGATCAATATGGGAGGGCCCAGGTCTCTGTGGGTGATGCCCCTCTGGGCAGGAGGTCCAGGATTGTATAAGAGTGCAGGCTTAGCAAGCCATGGGGAGCAAGGCAGTAAACAGCTCCCTTACATGACCTCTGCATCAGCTCCTGCCTCCAGATTCCTGCCTTGAGTTCTTGCCCTGACTTCTCTCGATGATGGACTGTGACCCGAGAGTTGTAAGCTGAAACAAACTCTTTCATCCCCAAATTGCTCTTGGTCATCGTGTTTTATCACAGCAACAGAAAAGTAACTAAGACAGAGCCAACTATTCTTTCTAGGTCAGTGGAAAGCTATTTAATACTACACACAGGTAAAAACTCAAGGGATTGCTGGGCAGTGGTGGCGCACGCCTTTAATCCCAGCACTTGGGAGGTAGAAGCCAGAGGATCTCTGCAAGTTCGAGGCCAGCCTGGTGTACAGATTGAGTTCTAGGACAGGCTCCAAAACTGCACAGAGAAACCCTGTCTCGAAAAATCAAAATAAACAAAAAGATGCAAAGAATTCTTTTAAAAACCAGACATCCTCAAGCCCAACCCTCAATAGCTTCAGGAATCAAAATAATGTTTATGTTAGGTTGAGAACCACACACACACACACACACACACACACACACACACACACACACAATTTAAAAGCAGAGCTCACAGGGTCTCAGGCCTCTTTCCTTTCCCAGCTCTTTGTGAAGAGACCAGTCTTAAGTCTTATTTGGGTGTTCCTGTCTGTAAAGTTCCTAGCTTGTCCATTGCTCACTGTGTTCTAGAAGACACTGTCAGCTTGGTAGCTTGGTGCAGGTGACAGAAGGAATTCATTCTGAACACCAATGCCCTTTGGTCTTCACTGTGGCTTTAGATTTCCAGATCCTTCTGCCTGTTGGGGGGTTTGGGATGTAGCTCAGTTGACAGCATGCTTGCTTAGCACACACAAACCCAAGTTCTATCCCAGTGTCACGTGAACCCGCATGGTGGCACATGCCTGTAAAATCCCAGCACTTGGGAGGTAGAACAGAATGATAAGATAAGCTACCTGGTGGCTTCATGGCCAGTCTGAGATTGATGTGTTACACTTTAAAACCATACTCAAACACCGCCCCCACCCCACACTTTTTAAGTATTTTATTTATGTGTCTCTGTGTGTGGTACAGCATGCATATGGAGGTCAGAGATCAACTTTCTCTCCATCTATCCTGTGAGTTCCAGGGATGGAACTCAGGTCATCAGGCTTGGCTGCAAGCACCTTCACCCACTGAGTCATCTACTTAAAGGTCTTGTTTTGAGAGTTCATGAGCATCCCTTAGACTTGAGCAATGTTAAAGCATCTTCGAGTTCAAGAATGTCTTGTTCTTTTTGAATCTCCTTTCTGTTTTTCTCTAAACGGACTGTAGTCTTGCTTAGGTCAGTTAGTCAGTGTGTTATCAGCATCTCTGCTGTGTCGACAGCAGCACAAATAAAAGCAAAGGAAGGGAACAGAATTCTTAAGTCTAGATGTAGTGTGTGCTCATATCTAGCTGGCTGTTGTGGTCTATGCCAACTGACGCCTGTCTCCCACCAGCGTCAAAGCGAAGGATGTCAAGAGATCAGCTGAGGCCCTCACTCAGCTCCTCTGGAACCCAACGTTTCCACCAATGTTCTTCAGAGGCTTGCTGATTGATGGCTTTTTTTGTTCTGTTAAGATGAAAACTTCACGAAACTGTTACTCGGTATTTCAGATAACCTGACTCTGTGTTCCTGGGCCATGGCCACCAATAATTAACTTCAGGGTAAACTCTTACTCCCTTTGAGGTGAGAGCT